CGTGGCCTCATTGGCCGACGATTGAATTGACTGTCTCCCCCCAGTATCGTAACAAGCAACTCAAGGTGTTGTGAACTATGAACAAGATAATTTAACCCTTACCTCTCTTGGGTTGCTCAATTTTTTCATTGGCGCGACCTTGGATTTGCATTCAGAGCAGTACTTTTTGCAGTTTTCGGAGAAGCTCGATGAGATCACGAGCGCCAGAACAATCAAAGATTTCATTTTTCGTCTCCTGATTAGTTGTCGGTACCTGAAAATACATTACCGCTCTGACCAACGTTGGCGTCGGAATTATCCCTGCTATACATAATGCGCTATTTATGGGTTTACGGACAACTTGGACTCGGTCCTTTAAACTGCCTTTATTTGATGCTCTCGCGTGCACTGTCTCGCTTAGACAGCGCTTATGATTCTGGTGTTTCGCGGCAGAGAACATGGGGGAGAGTTCAAGTAGGCACGTAATCCTGTTTATGGGTTTATACGTCGGTCACGATATTCTCTAATTTCTGAAGGTTCACCTGGTGAAGCCGGGCCAAAGGTGAGGTGAGTGTACTTTCCAATAAATACAAAACATCCATCAGCCAAGCGGAGCCCAGCTCGCTGTGAGCGTAGGGTGCCTCAAAATTAGCGGTACTGGTGACCATGACTAATTAAAATTAGCCTTGATACTGGAGGAAAAGGGAGAGTAAAGGTGTACAGTCAAGTCAGATCGAGTTGGGGGAGGTCTAACTTCGGTGGGCGGAGCTCTACAAAAAAGCGGTGCTCAACGAAAAAAATCATAGCTCGGTTAAGAAAAGTCGACAGAGCAGAACAAAAAACTGTGTAGGGAAAAGGTATAAGGTATTCATAACGTGAGCGGTCGCCCCCCCCCCTCACAATGAGTGGAGTGTGCCCTGAAGTGTACAGCTTTCCTACAAAATCTCCTAACACGGTTCCTGCCTCTTTTCTTTCTCTTTTTTTCCTACGTCCCAGAGAGCGGAAAAAAGGTAGATAGAGGTCAGAAGGAGGGGAGATTAAATGTTAGGCATGCACGGAGTTTGCCACAAAGCTTCATTATTTGATTCCAAGAACTCCCGGAGGCTGGGAAAAAAGGTGCCAGCGAACGGCGTAAAGAAGGAGGCCAACTGTTATTGATGGTCATGGCATGCCCCTAAAAGGGCAGAGTTTGTTATCAAACCTGTGATTCGATTGCGTGAAGTGAATGAATGTTCTTAACGCCCCTCCCCCTGAAGGAATCCTTGCAAAAATTCTTGCATTCTTTCTTAACATGAATGTGTCAGTTGTGATCACTGGAAACAGCACACAAAGTTTCACGCATGAAGATTCGGTTTCCGAAGAGAAACAAACTCACAAAAATCCATCTATGGACAATCGAAGGTAATTTGGGCGTAACCAAAGGCATGGAATTCGTCCGCGTATACTGGGGCACCCTCGTACGCGGGTTCTACCTTGTCGCGGTGTACGAGCTTGAGGCGAGGTCGGAATATTCGCCAGAATAGGGTTGCGCCGAAACCCCATACCGATTCCGTGACTAAAGAACCCAAAGTGCCCAAGCCCTTGGTGGGACGGCGCTCTCCTTGAGCAACAGGAACGCCCTGGTAAGGCTATCCTGTGGGACGAAAATACCTACGACCACTTCTCCAATCGCCTTAGTCCCCTGCAGGCTGTCCCTGCCCAGTCAGGTAGCGCTGGATCAGCAAACAGCCAAAGGCGAAGAAATCTCAGGGCCATAGGCTGCCAAAGGAAAACGGACAAGAGTTAGCCAGTTAATCGCTTGCACATACAATTGTCGAGGCATTAATTCGGCTGCTCAGCTTCACGGCACTAGTTGACGAAGCACGACGGATCAAATATGATGTCATCGGTTTGAGCGAAACAAAACGAAAAGAACCCGCTGTCATGCAAATGGAACGATGGAACAACAGTTTTTCTAGGAGGTCGTGAAATCAACTCAACCTCAGGAGGCATTGGATTCATCGTATCACCAGGCTTCTCAAAACACATTCAGAGCGTAACTTTTTACGGGCACCGCTTTGGCATTCTAAATGCAAGTATTTCGAAGGAGATAAGAGTTACTGTTTTGCAAGTCTACGCACCGACAGCAGATAGCGAACGAAGAACAACACGATGACTTTTACGAACAATTAGCCGAACTTGTGAGTGGTCATAAAAGTAGCTACGTCATAGTAATGGGCGATTTCAACGCCAGGATCGGACCACGAACGCTAGACGAGGTTTTTATTGGCCCGCACTCTTCAGAGAGTCGCAACGAAGCTGGACAGAGATTAGCGGATTTCTGTGAACTTCACCATCTCTTCCACGGCAATAGCCAATTTCTCAAACCTCCACACAAAAGGTGGACACATGTATCTCCAAATGGAGAATATTATCACGAACTCGATCACATCCTGTGCAATCGGAGGGCCATGACAGATGTGGCAGTCGTCCCTTCATTCAACACAGGGAGCGATCATCGACTATTACGGGGCCGGTTCCACTTTGATCGTGGTCTTGTTCGCCTCATTCGAATACGTTCGAGACTACCACGCCCTACCGTTCTCAATACAGATGCAGTTACAATGCTCACAAATGGAGAGTCTTTTGAAATGATTGAAGACATCAACGACGACTACGACAATCTTATAAGGACGATATCAAGAATTGCAGAAAGCTGCCGTAGTATAGCCCCGAATCACAACGCTCGTCGCATTTCCGCCTCTACTCGTGCCTTACTCGAGAAAAGGAGGAATATGGATCGGAAAGAAAATCATGTCGAATATACGCTACTAAGTCGTTTGTGTAGACGGCGCATCACTGAAGACCACATCAACTTCACAAGATCCAGACTTTTAAGCGAGGCTGAAGGCAAAAGGAGCTTAAAAGCAGCCAGAAAGAAAGTTTGCAGAACATCGTTTGATAATCCCATGTCTAAAGACTAAAGATGGTTCGCGCTGTACATCTATGCCAGAAATGGAACAAGTTATGGCAACATTTTATTCCACTCTCTTCAAATCGGAGTCCCTGTTATAGCAGAAGAGAAGCTGACCACGGACAAAGTGTTGCCATTTCTTTCTTCGGAGGTACGGCATGCGATTCAAACAATGCCACGAGGAAAAGCTCCAGGAAAAGACGGCATCACCATTGAGCTTCTACAAGCCTGTGGGCCGACTTTATATCGAGCGCTTGCCAAGAGATACACACGTTACATAAATGAATGCGAAGTCCCAAAAGCATGGAAGCAATCATCGACGGTTTTGCTATTCAAAAAAGGCGACAAAGAAGACCTAGCGAATTACCGTCCCATTACGCTTCTGCCGGTGTTATATAAAGTATTCACTCGCTGCATACTGGCACGTATCCGAAGAACATTGGAAGAAGCTCAACCGGTAGAACAAGCAGGCTTCCGTCGAAACTTCAGCACACTCGATCATATTGTAACCTGTCGAAGAGTTATTGAAGCATCGCGCGAATATCACTTACCGCTTGTAATGACCTTCATCGACTACAAAAAAGCGTTCGATTCAGTGGAGCCAGCGATGGTCTGGAACGCATTAAAAGATCAAGGAGTTGAAGAGATATACGTGAAAGTGTTACGGGAGTGCTACACGGACTGCACAACGATATTTCATCCGTTCCACAAAGACGTCGTGGTTGCAGTAGAAAAAGGAGTAAGACAAGGTGACCCAATATCTCCTAATCTTTTCACTGCATGCCTTGAGTCCGCTATACGCCGCTGCGAATGGAGCAACTTTGGAGTGGATGTCGATGGTACACGGCTCAATCATCTGCGTTTTGCTGATGACATAGTCCTGATCACAGAATCTTCGCAACACGCCTCAGAGATGCTACGACATCTGGACGAAGAAGGAAGTCATTATGGACTAGTTATCAACACGTCAAAAACAAAGGTGATGCGGAATTCGTTCACAGATGGCAACGCTGTTCTCTTAAATGGAAGCCCCATCGAAGACGTCAAAGAATTCATTTACCTCGGGAGCCAATTGAACATGAAGAATGACCTGTCTGGAGAGCTAAACAGACGCCGCAGAGCGGGCTGGGCTGCCTTCAAATCCATAAGAAGTGTTACCGAGGATACTAGGGATAGCAAACTGCGTGCGGACCTATTCAACTCAACGGTTCTACCTGCTCTTACATACGCAGGAGAAGACTTGGACTCTAACTAAGTCCTTAGAAAAACAATTGAAGTCCGCCCAGGCATCGATCGAACGCCGTTTAGTGGGTTTCACTTTGAGACGACAACGAGAACTAGAACTTCACAATTCGGACATCAGGGCCATATCGAAAGTGAAAGACGCCCTCCTTCACGTCGATGAGGCAAAACACAGATTCGCTGGTCATTTGATGAGGAGAAATGATGGCAGATGGAGTGCTGCAACTGTGCGATGGTACCCGCGCGAAAAGAAACGACCACCCGGCCGTCCTCCAGTACGTTGGGCAGACTCTCTAGCTTATCGCAACAACATATTTGATCCCGTGTCCCTTAAGGTGTCTGTTCATTGGACAACCATAGCTCAAGACCGAGAACGATGGAAGAGAAGTTGGGACCCGCGCAAGGCCAACCGCCAAGCAGATGAACGGGTCGTCTAAGTATCTAAGTATCTAAGTATACTGGGGCACCTACGTATCAGGGGCCGTAAGGTATGCTTCCCCGAAGGGTTAGGGGACGAAAGTTCCTTTAAATTTTCTCTGTAGTCCCAACTGGGATTGTCCTGATAAAGGGCCTACATCTAATATATGTGTGTAGCTTAAAGCGAGAAATTACGATAAAATTTCTGTGCAGCATGGAAGAACGAGCAGCACTTCAAGCAGTAGCTAGAGCCCAAAGGAATCGAGATGTGGCCTTTTTGTGACTAAAGGTGCGCTCGTTGCAGCGCCCTGGGGCTGCCAATCCTTTCTGAGCTCCGCCTCCGCCTCAAACGACCTCCTAGTTGGTTGCTAGCTCGTCCATTATCGGAGGTCAACGGGCAGAGAAGTGGTCCCATTTTGCGCGTTTTTGACGGATTTCTTTGCTTTTTTCGCTACTAGGGCATTATTCAGCATCTTCACTTCCACTATGAGCACAACAGAATCCTATCGCAATCTCTCGCTTTAAAGTAAGCATGCATTGAAAATAAAGAAACAGTATCGTTCAAAACAAAAAATTTAAAGGGACTTTCGTCCCCGCAACCATTCGGGGAAGCATACCTTACAAGCCCAGGCGACGCAGGGAAAGAATCGGGTTAAAGCGCGCGATTTTGGAGAGTAGAGACAAATCGATCGATAGAATAGGATGGAGTAGAAGTGTGAATGCAATAAGTCAGAAGGCCAGAAAGAGTTTCTAGTGAAGGCACTCCAAGAACCAAGTGGAAGCATCCCCGTCGCCAGCATTTGTGAAAGACGTCCGTGGGCACTTTGAACGCGTAGCAGCCCTTTCGATTTTTCGAATTTTTTTTACCAAAACAAAAGCAATATCTGTTCTCATTCTTATCGTGGATAATGAGTCTCAAGCCAGTGATTTATGGCTGAAATAGAATCATGATTTTTCCGTGAAGGATTCCTTGTAAGGGCATGAGAACAATATCGTTATCCTCAAATCTCCACACGTTGAAACAGCAGAACCTTGCGTGTTTTATCCGCGATGTGGTCACGCCCCGCAGCTCGCCGCGCGATTTGCCGCGTGCCCGGACGAGCCAAAAGACGGTCGCTTAGCCATAAGCTCTACTAATTGTTCAGTAGAGGCATTTGTTGTAGCTCGATCTTGTCACCATATCTATGCCCCAGACTGTATTTCAGGAATATTCCCTACACATTTAAATACCATCTTGCGATATCTAAAGAGCCTTGCCTTGCAGAGAATGGCTGTCTGTGAGAAAAGGAACCATTTTAGACGGTCCAGATGGGTCCTTCTAGTCGCTTGCGCGTCGAACACCTTACACCACTAATTTGATCCTAACGGAGGGTTCATAGTTGGCAATCGTACGTGCAATTAAGCGATGATTCAGAAAGAAAGTATACGTATCGATAAGGCGATAGGCGAGTAGGCGAGTAGGCGAGTAGTCGATTAGTCGATTAGGCGAGTAGGCGATAAAAGAAGGATACGTATTGATTTGTTGCTCCGCCCATTGAGCGATCGCCTAATCGCCTAATCGCCTACTCGCCTACAACGTTCTATGGGCGGAGCAAACCAATCAATACGTATGTTGTCTTCCCCGCCTAATCGCCTACTCGCCTACTCGCCTAATCGCCTAATCTATACGTATATTTTTCATTATAGTGATCACCTAATTGCCCAATTGCCTAATCGCACATATGATCGCCAACTCTGGGCACTCCATAAGCGGTATCCTAAACGAATGTTGATGGACAGTTTAGTTGCTACTTCAAGGAAGTCATGCGTGTGTGGTGGCCCAGAAGAAAACACAAGAATTTGCTTGTAGCGCCTACCGCAGCTGTTTTCGCGTCAAGGGCGCAGTATTCTTGTTCAGGAGCTGAAGCTACATCAACTTGGTACAGTTCTAATCAAATGAAGTAAGCAAACCAGCCCGTTTGGCGTTTCTGCTGGAGACCGTATGCTGAATGTTGGGGAGGGGATGGGGTCCCCGACGGTCGACGGACTACTTCAACTCGGTCCTTAAAACCGCCTCAATTTGGATGCTTACCTCAGAACTAAGCCTTAAAGAGAGGACGGACGTCCCTCTCCAAGGCTTAGTCCTGGGGTGAGCAAACCAGCCCTTTTGGCGGAGCTGCTGGACCTAGCTGCACCACTTGCGTCATCACTCTCCTACCGTACCGACCGAGTTCAAGTAGTCCGTCGACCTCGGGGACCCCATTTCCTCCCCAACATTCAGCATACCGCCCCACCAGAAATGACGTGGGGTGAGCAGAATTTAAATAGAGTCCCTGGCCTGGGCTTGTACATAGTATTGTAAGTGAAGCTACACTGCAAAGGTGTCGGGTTGTGAAGTGCTCCAGGCGACACATGCCAACTTTCACGATCCCGGATTAAGCACAGTGAGTGACGCTGGTGCTAAACGCACAACCCGTTTGCAAACCACTGCGAAGGCCATCAGATGAATCAGCTTTCTTTTATAAAAATGGAAAACCTGGCGCATCTCTGAAGGTTTGTTCAATAGTGGGCCCTTTTTCAATAACCTAAACATTTCGCTGCTTACTTGACACTCGGCCGCCACTGGTGGAAGAGATGTCCAAATGAATCAAACAGCATTCGTTTGATAACGTGGTTACCCTGACTCGAATGATTACATATACTCGATATCGGTGAGTTGGGGTGGGCGTGTCACCGGAAGTGACGTGCACTTGATAGAAACTATGTGGATAAGCTGCTTCCAACATACATCGCTGGCTATCAGCAAAGCATGCTGGCAACAGCTTATCCACGCACTTCTATCAAGTGCACGTCACTTCCGGTGACACACCCACCCCAACTTTCGGATATCGACTGTATACATTCCTACTATATAGTATCGGTGTGTGTGTGTGTGTGTGTGTGTGTGTGTGTGTGTGTGTGTGTGTGTGTGTGTGTGTGTGTGTGTGTGTGTGTGTGGTGTGTGTGTGTGTGTGTGTGTGTGTGTGTCGCAGCCACTGCCATCAAGCTCAAAGGGACATTGAAAACCGCTTCCAGGTGTTAAACGAATATCTGTTTCTGTATACTGAATGAATACCTAATGAAGACCGGCAGCAGCAACGGGGTTGAGTTGGGGGTGGGGTGGACCTCAGTTCTCAAAAAGGGTTACATATGTTGTCTAGACTTCCATAGATTTGAAAAGAGTTCCTGTTTTGTACAAAAGATGTCTCATCTCAGGATCCTCTTACAAGAAATGCCATAAAACCCGGCTATCAGTTGTGTTCCAGCCGTTCGTTCGTAGACGGTTATTTTTGTGTGATGCCTTTTTGATCAGCTGATCGCTTACGTTGACACGAACAAAGAACACTTTAATTGTCTGACATCACCACTGGCGGGCTTCCTCTTCCTGGGAGCTTCAGAATTACTGTATCATCCACAGTTCCCAGTTAACCCAATTGTCTGCATACAATACACGGAACAGGGAGGTCTTTAAGGTCATCCTGTTTCTGAAAAATAGTCTTATGTACGACGTAGGGGCACATGTACAAAACACAGAACTATGGTTTATTTTACCTGAGGGGCTCTCTATGCCAGGAAATTGTGTAAAAAAAATTCAAACGACACACCTTTTTGACTTCAGTTCTGGCAAAAACTACTCATATGGGTTACTGATGGACCTTAACCTTACCTTATTAATAACGTTGCACCCATTACTAGCCGAGGTATCATTTGGAACCTCACGCAACCGTAAGCGGAAATGCAAAGCTTTGTCACAAAGCGGGCTCGATATCAATTTTTCTTCGCCTTTTTGCCGTCCAACCCCACTCTGGAGGAATGAAGCATGGGCGCATGTCCCTATGTAATGCAAAACAGCGTCTTAAAAAGCTGAGTACGGCTAGAAAGACTTTGCTGGTAAACTCTAGGCCATTCAACTAACAGGCGTTTCTGGGCTTCTACCGGCTTTTCCTTTCTTTCTTTATGAAATTTCATTGAACATCATCACGACAGCCTTTCGAGTCTTCAAAAGAACGAAGGTCTTTGAAATAAAGTACTGAAATCTGTTTTTTTCTGTATTTTTTCACAAACATCCCAATGAACTCAAGAATATGTTGAGAATAACAAATACAAGAAAAACGAGATGAAACGGTCGCGCTTCAGATTTGTGCTCAATGTTTCAACAGATGAAAATTGGTTCAATAGAACGTTGCGAGAAATCGATCCCAAAGGAGAAGCTCATGGTACCTATGTGAGTTTGCTTATTCAGCCCTCAACTAGCAATTTTGCTACTTAATTTTTTTTCAACTTGAAAGAATGGTTGACTCCCCTAGGTGCAATCATAGGCTCCTTCAAGGCAACTAATACTAGGGAACACAGTCCAAATGGACCAGAAAATTGCCAGAATTTTGTCGCGTGCGGGTACATGGGCGCGCTTTTGAGAATGCGGCTAGCCCAGCTTGTTTGGGTACAAATTTAACACGGGCTCGAACAATTTTGCTGTTTCGGTGGTGGTACAAAATCGATCCCCGCGGCCTTTGCCACACACATGAGTGCTTTTCCATGCTAGAAATTCTACCATGAAAGGCTCTGTGTGTGCAAAATCGCAGTGAGCTAGTTTTGGCTCTGCTCTAGAGATTTCGTTTTTGCAACTATTTCAAAAATTGTGAAAATCTAGGAAATGGGCTAGCCTGTGATGTTTATAGCTTTTAAATGCCAATAGCTGCCGCTTATCGCGCTTCATGAGCGTCGTGAGTACAGTATACTTTTCAGATTGGTCCATATAGGACACACAACGAGGAATTCGTCAAATATCAATCCTACTGCTTCTACCATCCTGACTCGGATATTTGTGCTCGTATGGAGGTGAGAATTTGTGAACATCACAAAACTGTGGACGAAAAATCGAGCGTTTCGCGTACAAGTCTTAGAACCTGACCCTCAACACACTGACGACAGCATGACGCGCATGCGCGTCAGACTCTCGCAACGGTGACTCTCATTTTGTTGGGTTTTTGGTATTTTTCATGTTTAGACCGCCGACATCCAGCTGCATAATTGGATCAAAATATTGGTATTTTCAGCAGTAATAACGGAGATATTGAAGGGTGTGATGGTTTTGAGGAAAAATTGGGCACTGTCGCAAGATAGGCCGATGTCATAGTTTGCGGATCAAGCGATTCGCTAGCGAATCGCTAGAATTGCACCAGCGAATCGAAGCTTTGCGCCAGCGAATCGACGATGCACCAGCGAGTCGAACTATGTACCAGCGACTCGACACTGTTTGAAAGTGGCGGGACCCAACGTTTAAGGAAGTCCACTTCTAAAGGACCACACTGTTTGAAAGTGGCGGACCTCCTTTAAACGCTGGGTCCCGCCACTGTCGAACAGTTGCGACTTGCTGGACCATTGGGGTTGAGTCGCTGGTAAAACGTTCGATTCGCTAGCCAATTGCTATATTCGCAAACTATGACATCAGCCATACGAGGACACTGTGGTGGCAAATATATTTGAACCACGTGAAGCATCTCCTCCCAGTTAGAAGTGATGGCGGGGGGGGGGAACGCCAGGGTCGTGAATAATTCTCATTGCCGCAAAGTTGCTGCCGCTCCCTGGCTTTCTTGAAGATGCCCCACTATGTTGTGATCCTGCCAAAAATCTAACAAGATGCCGAAAGACAACCGGCTGTCGTCGATGTGTTGAAATCCCATGGATGAGTTCGCACGAAAATAAGCCCGTTTTTCATTTAGCGCTATGAATATGTCCAGAATGAATTTGTCATGAGCCTAGTAAAATTCGGCATGGTTTTCTGTTGCTTTTGTTATAACACTCCGTTTTCTGAAACGAACCCTCGTTTGAAAACCACTGTCAAGTATAAAAATCTGGGTGAATGGAGAGCGTTGTCTTCCTTTAGGCCGATGTCAGACTTTGCGAATCGCGCGATTCGCTAGCGTCCGCGGTCGCGTTGCGGTACCAGCCAATTGAGTGATTCACTGGCCGCGACGCGACCGCAGACGCTAGCGAATCGCGCGATTCGCAAAGTCTGACATCGGCCTCAGAGATGAGGTGGACTTATCCATGAAGTTCCACGGTAGTAAAATACGAGGTAATCTTTCCAGGCTCGCATCTTCAAAGAACACCAAATCAATGAGAAAGATGTTTCTGCTGTACGTGTCCTCACTTCGTTGCCATATTCGTTCTGTCACAATATTATCAACAAACTACGGCAAGACGTAAGTTTGAGTGTCGAATTCCCAAATTCCCTTCAATTTCAATTTGCTATTTATAATATATTATTTTTACCTAAAAAGCTTGGTGGTTCAATAAAAGGGTGAGCGTTCATTTATTTGGGATGCGTCACGCATTCTGCCTTGATACAGAATCGTAATGGCATTTCGATTGCAATTTGGCAAACGCAATCGCCTGAAGAGCCAGGTAGTGTTCGAATCAGTACTGCGTCCATTTAGGCAAGACTGGTACCAATAATCGGACCAAGGTCAACCGTCACGTTGGACCGATTTCGAAAATTTTACGACCCCCTCCCCCCTCTGGAGGGCCTCGATACGACCCCCTCAGGGCCAACTCCTCACGACCATCCTCCACCACCCTCGCCTGCCGGGGCCGATTCTATAGTATTTGATTCTGAGATCAGTCGAGTCGACACAGCCCAGCTCCGCCCACTTGTTCCTTTTTCCTCCCTCCCTTACTGCATTGACGTTACCTCGCGAAATACAACGCCCCCATTTTCCACCCCCTCGTTGGACTTTCTCCAACGGACGGTTGACCCTGAATCGGACCCAATAGAGACGGAAGGCTTGATGTGCCTGAGCAGGATTTGGTCCTCGGACCGTGAGGATTTCTGTGCAACAGGTTCTCTCAAGGCTTTCTTGACCACTTTCCCATTTTTCTTCGCCTCAAAAGATTATTCTCATAATTACTTGTCTGGAGGCTGGCTCGATGCCTTACAGAGATGGCTTTGAAGCAACAGTCCCAGCAGGGTGGGCGTGGTCGGAAACGACTGCAATCCCCTCGGCCGATTCCGACCACGCCCACTTCAGCTCCCTCCCTAGCGGCTTTCCAAGGTGAGTTTTTGTTCAGTCACACTTCTTACGTTCTTGACTAGGGGCTGAACAGCTCCGAAGTGGGAATCGGCCGAGGGGATTGCAGCCGTTTCCGACCACGCCCACCCTGCTGGGACTGTTGCTTTAAACCTAGTAGGCATTGGTACACTAAAACCAGCAGCAATAAACAAATAAACAGTGCATCTCGAAGATATGCAATTCTGTTTATTATTCTTAATCTCGTTACGATTTATCTCGATCATGTCGTTTTCAGCACAAAACTGACGAGTGCAAAAAGGAGCAGTCTAGTTCTGGTCCTTTTATGATGATTTTCGGAGGCCTGATGCTGTTGGGTGTTGGACGGTATGTGCTCTTATTTGAATAAAGTGACTGAAAGCTTAGCTCATTGCCTTGGAGGGACATTCAAAGCAGTGAAATCGAAAATCACGAAGACTGACACAAAACTAAACCTGGAGAGGAGGGGAGAGGAGGAAGGGGTCCGTCACGAAGAACGAAAATTGCTCAGGTCCTCTCCCAGACTACCTTCCCTGTTCTGAGGCTCAGTTCCGAGTATTGTAGCTTACTCATCCTCTTGAATGTCATCCCTAACGACATGAGCGCCCTATCTTGGTTTGTTGTCCGAATCTTCGAAACTTCTCCCTTTTTAGAACGATGCCATTCTCACTTGGCCTTCTATTGATGGAATGAAGCCTCGATGGAAACAGCATGCATGGACTGACCATGACCGAGAATCACGGCTGACCATCTGCAGAAGTTTCATTCTGCAACCGTACAGACAAGACACTCCCTGATTGGTCACCAGTGCATGAGTCAAGAGTCCCCTACGATAACAATACGCTGCTCGCCCGGTGGCTACCACGCAGCCTGGATGCTGCACATCAATCAGAACCCGAGCTGTTTCATCACAGGGTGTGACCCCCAACTTGTTGGATTCGCTGGGTATCCCATTTTTGAGAACCATTTAACTTTATGCAGACAAGCATTGCGGAGGTAACCATGGAATAGCTTCCAAAGTTAGCCGCAGCAGTGAGGGAGGACGGTTGGAAAAGTCTCAAAATCTCCTTTATACGGAGGACCGCCCGAAATCACATTGCAAATGATAACTCGCCACGTTTCGAGGGAAACTGGCTGGACCACGACACCACATCTATCGTATAGCCCTTACGTTGCTCCATCGTACTATCACCTCCTCAGCCCCTGAAGCAGCAGCTAGGAGAGGAAAAAGTCAGTAAATACAACCACCCCAAAAACGACCTCTTCGAGCTTTTCATCTCACAGCTTCTCTCGTTCTGGGAGGAATGCATCCATTCGTTCCCTAGCAAATGGGTGCATATGTGATATGATGGTGGTTATGTTTTTGATCAATTGTTCTTTAGGAGAAGATAAAACTTGAAACTAACAAAGTGTTGGAATTCGCCAAAAATTATCGATCCAAACACAATAAGACAACTGGAGTATGGCTCTTCAAGTTTACGTCTCCTTCGTTTGAAAGAAGCCTTCACCTAAGATCAACCCTACGTTGCGACAAGTATCCAACGGGGGGGAGGGGTTGTATTTGGTTGAGCTAGTAGGGTCGTACTCTCGTCGGAGGCCGGCAGAGGGATTCTTGATGGACATAGATTGCAGCCACGAAACCACATTATGAGACTGAAGTGTAGTTGGAGTATGCATTAGACAACGTCCTACTATATATAATCGGCTAAGCGGTTGTGTGTGTGTGTGTATGTGTTTGTCTGTCTGACCGGAAATTCATAGCTCGGGCACCAGTGGTCGTCAGGAGTTGGTTTCAAGATATGATATAGGGGGTGGGACGGGAACATATTTGGTGGGGTACAGAAAGTGATAACAACTGATAAGGGCTGATAAAAGGCGCTAGAACGCAAGTGTCGCGAAATTCATAGTGCGCTTCGCAGCAGTCGTCAGGAGCTGATTTTGGGGCATGATATAGGGGGTGGGACGGGAACATATTTGGTGGGGGTCACAAAGTGATAACGACTGATAAGAGCAGATAAGAGGCGCTGAAACAAATTTCACGAAATTCATAGTGCGCTTCGCAGCAGTCGTCAGGAGCTGATTTTGGGGACATGATATAGGGGTGGGACGGGAACATATTTGTGGGGTCAAAAAGTGATAACGACAGATGAGGACTGATAATTACGATATGCGTATGAAAGTAGAGATTACTCGAACATTATTTCAATATCATTCATTAGCGTTATCCTTCTATTATATAAACCGCTAACTTGGTGTGTCGGTTTGTGTATCTGTATGTATGTGTGTCCGTCTGTCCTTCCGCAAAATGAAGTGAGTGATAAGGAAGCTCATGGGATAAACAAACCGCTAGCAGAATCGGGTGAGTGATAAGGCAGCTAATAATAGAATCAACAAACCGCTAACAGAATCATGTAGCTCACAGGACTTTAGCTATTAGTGTTTTGCAATGGCATGATTGTGATAACACCCCAACGGCTATATAAACACCTATTGAGGTCACTTCCGGCAGGGTCAACCCTATGTTGCTACAAGTAGCAACGGGGGGGTCGTATTTTGATGAGTTTGTAGAGGGGGGTCGTACTTGCTTCGGTTGTAAGAAGTTGCATGTGATGAGTGGGGAGCGGCGCGGGAGAAAATTTGCCGTTTCAGCGCGCCCCCCCCCCCGCTCGACGGCATTTTTGGAGGAAAAAGTGGGCGGGGTTTTGATGGAAGATGGAGATGGTGGAGGTAGGGAAAAGGGGGTCGTATCAAATCCACCTTGGGGGAGGGGGGTCGTAAAAAATTTTCGAAAAGTAGCAACGATAGGACCGACCCTGCTTCCGGTCATTTAACATGGTGCTGCGGTGGCAGCTGGAGGGGAGTGGAGGGAGAGGAGAGGGGGTGAAGTGTTCGAGGAGGGTAGGCGGGAAACCACCCCCAACAGGCCTAGGATGCAATTAGCTTTCGTAAGGTGATTTTAGGCCGTAAAGCGTACGCTGTGAAAGAAGGTCCCGGCGGTTGGCGGGGGACCAACCTGGTCATTGTAAATTTAAACACCTTTCAACTGCTACACCTTCTAGAGTTAAGGATGAATTGCACCATGTTTCCGTGGAAAAATCTTCTGATGTCTTCGGGGTAGGAAGCCTTTATGTAATTCTTTTTCGATAGAACAGAATGTGCTCTTCAATATGCAGATAAGCTCATTCGGTTTGGTTTTGGCAACGTGTAACTATTTCTGTTTTGGATGTGAATCCTTTTTTTGACTCCTCTTTTTACACTCTTGAACTTTAAAAAAACTTCATAAAAATGATGCTCTTGTCAAAATCCGGATACCAGGGTGACCTGTGGCGGAGAATCTGTTGATAGTGTCCAAAGAATTTTTGAATAGCTGCTTATTCTGGTAGTGCAAAGTTGAGGGTGAGCTTATAATCGTGAAACTGTAGAGTTTTTCCGTTCTAGGTTTTGCTACGATTTAGTTGGGACACATTGTGTAAACTAAAAGCAACCCGCCGTCAGAGCGCGTCTAATAACTTAGGTGCTAGTCGAACCAGAAGAATTTGGCTCACAGAAAGCTGGGACGGTAGTAACCTATTAAAGTCAGTTAAAGGCAAAAGTCGGGCTCAATAAGGGGGTATTATGGCGATTGAAACTGAGTATAGAGATGCGAAGTGGAACGACAGTGGAGAAAAAACAAAAACCGTCGACAAGGCCGTTAACAAAACCCTCTTTCCCACTAGCAGTGAAGGAGGCTGGCTTGGGAAAGAGGCACGTACAAACAAGTTTTCTGGAGATGTCAGTCGTTCTATCGGTTGATACGGCAATCAACCTAGCTGATTTCACACGTTATGCCAGCCACGCACCACATCCCGAGGTGGGCGGTCGTAGCGGGGCCAGGCGGCGATAGCGCATAGTACATGCCCTGGGGCCTTATTACCGCGCCGTTTCGAGATTTTGAGCGTGGGAACATCTCTACGGGTGCGTAACCAAGTACAGAGATGACCGAAAGGGTTGGTTTGGTCAACTAATCCCGACCTTTGCCTTTAACTTGGAATCAGAGGCGGTGATTGTGGGCCTTCATCATAGAATAAGGAAACAGACAATCGCGGATTAACCCTGGATTAAATCACGAGCTCCGTACGTTGATTGCAGAAGTTTCCCATCGCTCGGATTCGAACTCCCCACGCCAAGATTCATAGGCTGCAGCACTACCACTGCACCACTGGAGGAGCACATGTATATTCAGCTGAGTCGAGCGAAAACGAACTCGCCTGTCCTAACGTGTTCGCGTGGCTACCATGCACTGCAGTCATAAATGATTCAGTGGCTTAAAGGAAGCAGTCACGATAATTTCTCATGGCAACGATAAGGAAAGCTATGTATTGGAGTGGATAGAGGTCCTGCCCAATGTTAGAACACGTGAAGTTTCAGTGGCAGTGGCGCCTTATCAAGTGATAAGGCGCCGAAATCCACTTCCGTTCAGCAAAAACCAAGACTTATCGATGTGGAAAGGGGTGCGATAAGAGCGTGCTAGATATGATACCGTTATCGTTATCGTCCCGTTTTCATTCTGGAGTGCACCTCTTATCAAGCAGCCGCACCTTCTTATCTCATCGTATCATATCTTCCATGGGCTTACACTCGTCCAACAATTACTGCCTCACACCTTATCGATTGATAACGCGAGGGTAGCAAATCCAGCGTGGAAGCCAGCGTGACTGCTTCCTTTAATTTTAAAGGAAGCGATCACGCTGGCTTCCACGCTGGATTTGCTACCCTCGCGTTATCAATCGATAAGGTGTGAGGCAGTAATTGTTGGACGAGTGTAAGCCCATGGAAGATATGATACGATGAGATAAGAAGGTGCGGCTGCTTGATAAGAGGTGCACTCCAGAATGAAAACGGGACGATAACGATAACGGTATCATATCTAGCACGCTCTTATCGCACCCCTTTCCACATCGATAAGTCTTGGTTTTTGCTGAACGGAAGTGGATTTCGGCGCCTTATCACTCCGTTGATAAGGCGCCACTGCCACTGAAACTTCACGTGTTCTAACATTGGGCAGGACCCCTATCCACTCCAATACACAGCTTTCCTTATCGTCCCTATGAGAATTATCGTGACCACTTCCTTTAAAGGCAGCGATTACGATAGATCTCACAGGGGTTTAGAGGGGACGTGAGGGTCTCAATAGTACGCCAATGGCGAAAAAAGCAAAGAAATCCGTCAAAAATAAGCAAAATAGTACCCCTTTGATTGCCCTTTCATTTTCGACCATGGATGAGCGACGGTAAAGAACGACGTTGTTCGGACGTGTTAACCCCGATAGCCGCCATCATGCCAACAAGCATAGTGTTTTGATTGATAAGGCAA